CGAATATTTTATGTTCACGCAACTGATATGAAATCGACACAGTCGCCGGTTGCCCGCGGTACTCTTCGTACCACCAAGCAAACCATTGATAGTGTGTAGGGTATTTTTTAATACCCTACCGTTCTACCAAATCGTAGTGCGATAATAGTGTGATAATGTTTGCCGGACACGTGTTGCTGACACTCAATTTGCTCAATTGCACCAATTACATGATGAGAAAGATTGGTTTTTCTTCAATTGTTTTAGAACTTCTACTAAATGATAATACATTCTAAACTTTTTAAAGAGGGTGCTCACTCAATCCGCATACACGTGAACAGGTGACAGTACATTAGAAGGAACACAAAGACATATTTTATCCTTTTGGTCCTACCAGTAGGAGCATAGGGACATATTATTCCTCGAGCTCCTACCAGTAGGAGCACCCAGTAAGAGCATGAGGAAACGGCCGATTCTAATAGGCCTATAACACGTCTTTTGTTTTGAAAAAATCTACCAGGAAAATGTTAGACACTTTAAACGCTACCCATACGTAATACTGCAACAGTACAGGCTATTTTAAGTGAAATAAAGGGTCATTGAATTGTTTGTAATAAAACGAACCAATTATTTCAAAATTCATTTAATCATAAATAAATAACATTTTTGTTTGGAACAAAACAACCTCCATATTATTCACACACCATACAACTCGTCATTTTAGTGAATTACAATTATTTAATTATCTAATTACCTTCTAATAATACTTACAGCAATCTTAATGTGTTAAACTTGTACATATTTATTACCACAATTAATTTGAGATTTTCTTCATGTAAATATCTAATGCTTATAGAGAGAATTCCAATTAGAAAATATTCTTTTTTTATTCCGTATTTTTGTGGAACAATTTTTATTGGTCATAGTAAGATTTAAAAAATCCGCCCCAAGTTTTAATTCAATATTATGTGCAATAGGAGGAGGTGTTGAAACGTTTAAAAGTTTATAAACATCGAAGCTGCAGATTGCTTTCCAAGCAATCTATTCTGATTCCTGAAGCATAGTAAGATTATTATAATAATTTGAATATTTATAATTGACATTTTTAATCTGGACAACACAAACATAAGGTACGATAATGGAATGGATATCTGTTTGGGTACCACAACTGTCTAAGTTACAAAAATATTTTCAAATGAATGCGAGGCAAGTTCCTATTAAAATCGGAAAAATAGTTTTTTTCACAAGAAATAATAGTGACTGATATATAAACCCGAATTTATAATAAGTACTTAGCGAAATAACATTGTTAGTATTCCATTAAACATCGATTTATTTACACATGCTGTGCGGTTGAAATTATACACTTTTGAATAACATCATCTACATAACATAAGTACGGGTGTTCCAAAATGTTCACATCCGAGATATGCAATATTATAATGGGACATTTCTCATACTAATTACAACAATTTTTTTAAATTTATATTTACTATCAAAAGCATTGACAGGAAACATGAAAAATAATTTAGAAAAAATATATACACAAAGTTTCGTTTTTGGTATATTCTTAATTTCATTTTAAATGTGTTAGACTGTAGTCTTTAAACGGAATTCAAATAAATCGTAGATAAATTGTAAAGTTCTGTTTCAGTGTATTTGTACGAAAAACTAGCGACACATAACAGAATTAAATACAAGATTAAACAAATGAGGTAAGTCAACTAAAATGAAAAAACTCCGATACAATATGTAATGCAACATGAATAATTACGATAATCTATCGACAACGCCTCGCGTTACATCAGTTTCAAATTCGACTAAAAATCTTCTATTTACTACACAAATATCACACAACTCTCTTTAACACACTTGAAGAGCATACACTTAAACGTTAACATTTATACACTGTAATCGACCTCTGTTTCATACAGTCCAATAGGAACAACGATGTGGATATAAAAAACGTAATTCGTAACTGAAATGCAATAGAACTGCACAAAATAATTTTTAGCCTTCAGGGTTGTGCGGGGCAGACGTTGACAGTACATACCTTATAAACTAAAAAAAAACCTAACGTCCTATATGAACGAGTTGGCTTCGCTATTGGCCTTTGAAACGAGGTTTGGACGCAATCCCCTAAATACTTGCTTTATCACAAGCAACAATATCCGCTTGGTTTAGTTCACGTCGTTCATATAGCAGAACTTGTTTGGGTCTCTTGGGAGGAGAACGTTGTTGCAGAGAAGACCTACTACAGGATTCTCGAGGTTTTCGTATTTGGAATTTGTTTCTGAAGAAAGACTTACAGCCCCACTGCTGTCCCCCTCGTATGTCGTCTCAGTATCGTCAACGTTCTGCGAACTGATGCTGGATTTGTCTTGTTTCTCAATTTGGTCCTTATCTAGGCCGTAGTCGAGCTTTTCTGCGTTATTTTTGTCATTGTTAGCTAATTCGATCCAATGTGCTCTGTTGCTCTTTACTCGATCAAGCATGGGCTGCAGAGACGACGAGAGCACAGCGAATGCCTGAAAAATACATGAAACAGTTTAAAATTAAATTCGTTTTTTATTTGTTATCCACAAGTTATAAAGGCGTTACAAGAATTAGTTTTGAGTCACCGTGATTCCTGATTGCGGCATATAATTTTTTTATAATTTTTCTATAGTATGCATTCAATAAATTATTGCACTGTACTTAAAGTTACATAGTCCAGTCAGTATCAAAAAACAAATAATAAAATATAATGGAAATAAATGTTAAAAGTTCCATTTCATAAGAAATCTCCAATATGGGAAAAATTTGGACTTATACATAATGTTATTTTTAATAATGATAATAACTCTTAAATAAACACTCATAGGGAAACCTTGTATCATGTATGTAAACCACGTATTTTTGTTTAAAGTCTACACTTTAAACAAAAATACGTGGTTTACCAACCTTATTATCTTTTTTCCTGTATGGCCCAATAATTCACTGGAAAAAGCCTTATGGTATATATTTGCACTATATTGTTTAAATTGGGCAAAAAAGTTCAAATAAACAAATAATTTTGTAATATACAGTCATGGAAATGAAAGTAATTAAATAACAATATCTAAAATTGTACACAATTCTTACAATTCCTCATTTCATTTGGAAGCCATAACTACCCTCTCATGAAGGAGAACAGTCGTTCCATGGTTCAGTGTACTTAGTTAAATTTAAATATGTTGTTACACGTAGTAAAACTGCCCCCGTGGCCGAACGGCTATCATGCTGGTCTGCCACGCAGAGGTCCCGGGTTCGATTCCCGGGCTGGGAGAAACATTTGTATGGCCTACATTTATTTCTCTCGCGAATTTTGGGTTATCGCATGTAAATCGGGATTTAGGAACTTTATATTCAACTTCATGTTTTTGTATCTTAGATTTATGAAACTTGTTAACTATGCATTTTTACGCGAGACTAAATTTGCTAAATTGATGGAATTTAAAAGTGAATGCTTACCTCGTAGATAGGCAGGCAAATGGTATCGATGAACTTCACTTGCATAGCAGGGAGCTGGTCCTCCTTGTCTCTGTTCATTATATCCTGAAAAATAAATTCAATACCATCTAGCGTCTGGTAGCGGAACTACATCAAGAATAGAGTTTTATTAGTCTTATTTTACAACACTAGGTGTCGTTTCTTTACATCATTTGGCACTATAGGTTTATTTTTAAGAGGAATGTAATGTAAATAATTACTATTTCATGTACGACTGTTTGTTGCCACAAATAAATTTAAAAAAATCATTATCTTGCTTCTTTGCTGCTTTCACGGGAGCTAGAGTTGAATCTACTAAGTTATAAACATAGTAAATTTAACTAAGTTATAAACATAGTAAATTTAACTAAGTTATAAACATAGTAAATTTAACGATTTCATGAAAGTGACCCAATACAAAATTCCAACTTTTCGGGAATACGCAAAATAAGATTGGAAGTTGTGACATTTTCACATTATTTGCATTATTACTCTTGAAATATTAAATGGCCTTGTTAGTCTAGAAAAATAATTATGACTTTATAACCACACAAGAATTAAGTTCTCTTTCATTTTCATCGGCTCAATTATATATTTATAAAAAGTTCGATTACAATGATTTCGGAACGATATTGGCTCAATTGCTAATCCGTTACTTTTTTGTTCACGGTGGTGGCGTGTTGTCTTTCGCGATGCAGATTCAACACTAAATGCGACATTTGATGCTATATTGATGTGAAATTTCTAACATATGAATAAGAGTCTCATTTAATGAGTCTGAGCCATTTGAGCTTTAATGGATCAGTTCCAGATTAACAATCTTATGAACAATTTTTAAACTCGTTTTCCGGTGTAAACAAATTAAAACCATTTTTTCAATTAACTCACTTTCATGCCAAAAGTATGAAAGGTCGCTCCGAAAAAAGAAATGATTTGCTATAAACGGTATATGTAGCACTTTTATATACAGGTCACTCACATAATCAGGGTTATTTGGAAATACTAACAACCTCGCGGACTGTATTGTGATTGTTGTGATAACTCTGTGCAAACGCGGAAGTTGTCGGAGAGGACGCTTAGGGCACGTTTCCATTATGTCGTAACGTTTTATTTATCGTTGGACGACTGTCGCTTCTAGCCTGTTCCCATATCACGACTATCTGTTGTGACTGTGTCATGGACGTTTATTTTATCGTTGAACGACTGTCGAGTCTAGCTGTGTCCACTAGATCGTGACGACAATTTATCAGTTCACAGCAGCTGCCTTATCGCAGAATCGTTTGAAGCTGCGATTACCTGTCGTCACATTTTTATCATGACGTTTATTTATCGTCTGACGAATATCGTTCTAGCTCTTCCCATTGTCACGACAGTCTGTCGTCGCAACATCAAAAAAAATCGTGAACGACAGTTAATCGTGTTGTACTACACGTGAACAACTTCATTGAAATATACAAGCTACGACACTTTAAACTGCACGATTATCTGGCGTCACGATATAATGGCGTGCCCTTACTACCAAATACAGATCTAAAAAAAAGCTCAAATGTTTATTTTTTGGTAAAGTAACGGAACAAAAAGTTCTCGTTTATGATGTTAGTTATCTAATACGGCAAGGTAGTTAGTATTTTAAAAATACCCTAATAATATCCCAAACCCTATATATAATATCCCAAAGAATATTCTTTAGTCACTTTCAAGTTACCGGAAACCAAGTACTAATAGACCTTTCCGTATGCTCAAAAGCTAATCACTCTTTTCAACTTACAATGGGAGTAAGATTCAAGTTCTGACGCTCCAAATCGCCCTGTCGGAAGAATTCGCCTGCTACCAAGGCCGCAACGCGTCGCTCCACAGGCCAAGGCTTCGTAATAGCGGCCAAGTCACAAGCTGTCATCAGCATCGCCCGGAGAAGGCCTCGGCGTTGCTCACATTCTCCCCACTCAGGCGTCACTACGCGCTCCTGGCTCACTAGTTCGATAAAAGCTTTGCGTTTGCTGAAAAAAATTTAACATATTTTGAGTTTACTGTTTCAATCCTGGTCCCCAAGTCTGCTAATTTGGAATCATCTCTATTGCGCGTCAAAGGTAAGATTTTGAACGTTTGGTATTCAGCGAACGCTTATTCTAACTTGTCTTTTGACTTCTTTGTAGTCGTTGTGTTCAATAAATAAATAGAATTATCTCAGGATAGATTTATCTTTTAGTGATTGCCCTGATCTGCTCTCGAAAATAGAATTCCTTATCCCACGACAAATGCTGTTAGTAATAGACTTTTCCATGCACAAATTTGAGGCTACATTGTTTTTTATCACGAGCAACAACACTGTATATAGAGTATCAGAGTGAAATTGATCTAAATTTTATTTCCGTTTCGTTGATAAAGAAAGTGATGTAAGTTTATAATTAAATATAATGATTGTACTTTTGTATCGTCATGCCTAACCAAATATTATTGCATTTCTTTTAGTGCATACTCTGCCCTCCTTTAAGTAATAGGACACTTAGTTTAAAACCATAGTAGTTATAGTTTATTATGTTAGTATAAATAAAGTTTTCATTTCATTGATTGTTAGTCACGTCCGAATGTAGATTGTTCACAACAGGGCTCGTTTATTCCACACGAATTTTATTGCGCACACGCCGCGCAACCGCCGCGCAGCGACCGCGTGCTTCTAACTGTCATGGCAAAATAAGCTCTATTTATTTAGCATTTACGTTTTAAATTGAATGAGCGGGCGAGACTGGCTTGTCTTTGGTCTACGCGGCTTCCGTGCGGCGTCGCCGCGCGGTTTTAGTATTCCAACGAATTGAAATATTGTTGCCTAGTAAATAGAATTCAGATTCGCCATTAATGCACGTGAAAGTGTGGTAACAGCGCGGTGGCCGCGCGGCGAAAAATTTTCGCGTCGTGTAACTGGGCGCGTGTGCTCCCGATGGCTACCTTTAGCATTAAGCATTATCTTCTTTCTTTCATTTTACCTTTTTGTTTTTTTTTTTGTTTTTAGTTAGATATTAACTTAATAATTATCATTACTAGGGGCCTTACCATGAACTCTTGAATGAATCGTAGTGAGACAGCGCTACATGAAGTATATATCACCATCCCGCTTTTTGTCGTTACGAACCTATACTGAACTGTAATAAGAGTTCATGGTAAGGTCCCAGTTCTTACCCGACTCATTCAACACATACATACAACTCACCATTGGAATGAATATATAATTATGTGCTATGTTTAATGATTAATTGCTTTTACAACAATTACCTGAAATAAACAGCCAAATCAGTGGACAGGATAGCGTCTTCGAGGACCTTAACGACTTTCTCGTAATCATCGGAAGATAGATTAGCCAGGATCTGATTGCCGGGCGAGTTAAGGATCATCAGGCACTGGTCGAAGTGATGGTGCTCCATCGTAGATGTTGAATACAGCTGCGCCAATGGTGATGATGCCCTGAAGAAATATTGAAAGTATTTACGTAAAATAATAATATTAACGCACACACTCAACATAGCCCCGCGCTAGGGAAACCCTGTGTCGCGGGTGCCATGGACACACACATAGACAACCACAAATTACACCCAAACTCACAAGAGAAATAAATGTAGGCCATAGAAATATTTCTCCCGACCCGGGAATCGAACCTAGGACCTCCGCGTGGCAGTCCGGCATGGTAACCGTTCGGCAACAGAGGCAGTTTAACTCGGCCGGGGATCGCACCTGGGACTTCAGAGATGGCAGCACCATGAAAACCGGTGTGGCAAGCAAAGGAAAAAATCCCTGAACGCTATAAATTGGGCCTTTTCAAGATGACAGTTCATAGGCATTATTTAGGAGTGCGTGCTCTATCGTCGACCTCATCATCACTTTCCATTAGGAAACATGGATCTCAAATGCGAATTTTTTTATTAAAAAAATTTTGTTTTATTTTTTTTTTTTTTTTCAAACCAACGCTTCGGACCCTTTACAGGTCCCATGATCACAGCTGATGGCAAAGTCATCCACCAGTAGTCATGTAACATGTCTAATATTAAACCATCCAAATTTTCACTATAGTTGCAAATGTTAAATACCTTATTTTTAATTTACCAAAAAACATTCCACTTTACACTACGTTTTACAAAATATTTTATTTTAACAATATAATTTTTTCTAAATTAAATAGATTGATGAAAAGCAAATTAGAAAGGGTCCGAAACATTGTACTTCTTTGAAACAAATATACGCGATTTAGCTCCGAAAAAATAGTTTCATTTCCTATAATTGAGGTTCAGTTAAAAATATCCTGCTCCTATCTTTGATAATTACCAGACTGCACAGATTGCAAGTTAACTAATAAAAGCAAAGCTTTTTTAAGGTGCATAAATTAATTTTAATTCCTGTGGCTCATTTATGCTCACGTGACATAAAATCAAAATGGAATTTAGATTTTTACAATTGTTATAAATCACGAAATCGTCATTTAGCCTCCTAAAGCCTCGTCCACATAAAAATGTACTTAATATGTAAAGTGAGTGAGTGAGATCCAGTGAATATTATTCCTACTATCAACCTACATTATAATGAAAATACCGCATTCAAATTTAACAGTATGTATTCCATGTGACCATAACCCTATGGTATCTAGAAAAATATGAAAACTAATAGCATACTTGCTTGGGCCTGAAGCATGTAATTAGGTTTAATACATTTTAAGGTACATTGGACAATTAGTGCTTATTCCATTGCAGTTTGCTGGGCCATAGGAGGTTAAGGGAAACGTTAAAGGCTCAACTGTTAACCTTCCATCTCCAACTGCAAGTTCCATAAAGATATTTTCTTCACCGCAACAACGGGTAATAATTAAGTAAATGAAACAAATGGAATTACTTGATTTGAAAAGAATTATTGGTCCCCCGATGATCAAGGTCGTGGCACAAGCAGCCTATAATAAGCGCGAGGCACTCGAGCTCGCCGAATATCTTCCACCATTGCGTCTCCTGCAAACGAGCAATTTCCTAAGGTCATTGAAAAGTATGATCCAAAATAGAGTGACACTGCAAAAAAAATTTTTTTTAGTGGGGTGTAGTGGAATACTTCAAAATAATAATAATAATAATAATAATAACGCACACACTCAACATAGCCCCGCACTAGGGAAACCCTGTGTCGCGGATGCCATGGACACACACATAGACAACCACAAATTACACCCAAACTCACGAGAGAAATAATTGTAGGCCATACAACTATTTCTCTCGGCCCGGGAATCGAACCTGGGACCTCTGCGTGGCAGTCCGGCATGGTAACCATTCGGCCACGGAGGCAGTTTATAAACTAAAATAAAAATAAACTACTATTTCAAGTTTTCTATGAAAGTAAGAAACAGAGACAACTCAACATTTTCACTTATATTACAATCAATGAACTAAGAAAATTAAAAGTGATACAAATTCAAAATACCAATAAACACTTACGGTCAAAATGGCGAACATCATCTGCGCAACGTTGAACGCATGCCTCCAATTGTGATAAGTTACATTGCGGTAGTTTTTCTTCACACTCAGAAGCCATCGGCAAAGAACTGCGTAATCTATATGGAACCTCTCTATAAAATCAAGGTCCAGGAACATTCGCAGACATGCAGCTAGTGTATCGTCGTCGGACATATCAATGTCATCGAACTCTAGCTCGTGGAGATTGAAGTGAACAGACGAAGGTATCCGAAGGGTCTGAAAGAAAAAAGGATGATAAGTGACGTTTCATTTGAATAGAACAAGGGTAAAAGCCATTCAACGCCTATCTATTATACTAGGTTTGCACTCGTACAGATTAGCATAATAGTCCCTATCTCTAGGATTTTTGTTTATTAAAACAAACACTATTGTTATATTGGTGAATGGTACCTACACACCGAATTTATTCTAATGTCAATAATGGATAACGCCAACAGTAATGTGAGCATTGCTGCATTCCAGTTTTCAAGGATAAGGGTGCTGGTGAAATTACTGGCACATGAGATTTGTTAACTTGTCTCAGGGTGACGGGCGCACTGGCAGTGACCCTCAGAATTTTGCAATTTAAGCTCTTGAGTGGTATTGCAACTGTTATAGACAGGCGTGTTGCTTACCACCAGGCCCATGACTTGTTCGCCCGATCACTTGGTATCGTAAAAAAAGGAATTAAGCTATCGAAAAACATCGTCGCCGAGGACCGTCTATCAGACCACGGACCGCCTAGTCAACTTGGTAGACGAAACACTCAAAGTACGCCTCACTGCGCATATGCATGTGATAAAATTAATCAATTGAAATGTTACAAGAATTCATGTACGAGTGCTTTTGCAATTTACATTGTTAGGCTCAATTTACATTGCCGTGTAAGGGAATGGAAGCTAATTTTAATCATAGCATAGTAAATAGGGCTTTCATCCCGAGAATAGGTTTTCAGTCTCGGGAATATCGATACTTTGAGATTAAAGCGACTTATCGAGTTCTTAGGTATTCGCGATTGTTACACATAGGAAATGAAACTATTTTTCCGGATTTAAATCGCGTATATTTGTTTTTTCAAACAAACCGACGTTTCGTTTAAAGTCATTTAATTAAAAAGTATTAAACTACTAGATAGACAGTATTTTTTATTGTGGTTACATGGATATGGCAACACTGTAGAGTGGAGCTTAATATAATGTATGAAGAACGGTTGTAATAAAATCAATATCGGTAACTTTAAACGGCCCTTGCTCTTACGTGACAACTACAATATAAAAATAAAAAACAACTTTCGTAAATAAATGTTTGATTTTATAATTTGAGTTAATAAAGAACTTAATCAAGAGTCGATACTACCGTGTCTTCCGGAGAATTCTTACGCAATCACGGGAATTCACGCTGTCGCTGCTACCGTATCATATCTAGTTTTTACGTTACACAATTGACATAGAGTTCATTAATTTCGTTATAAAAATTCGCTTCCATTCCATTCTGCAGCAATGTCAATTGTGATATAGTTATATAGATAGTTCTGTGATTAACTACCTACGCTAAATCGATAAGTCATTACGAATAGTTCTCTCGCCCACTTCCTACCGAACCAATTCAAAATAAATAAACTTAGCAATACATCCACAGAAAGTTTCTGACTTTTAGAAGGTTAGCTTAATACAGACTTTCTCCCATGCGCGTAGAAATCAATTTGGCTCATAGTTACTGTACGAAATTTTTTCGAGCGTTCTCCGGAGTGGATCTTCTACACTTGTACTAGTACAAGTGTATTATAGTATAAGGTAGGTATTTGTGTTCCAATACATATGATATTAGGCTGCCAACAGATAGACGGCTCGACTGCAGTCAATGCGTCAAGCAGTCTATCTTTTCGTGATCTACTGCAATTACAATCGAAACTTCAACTGCAAGCGTCGGCTGCAGTCGATGTAAACGATAGTCCGAGAAACAACATTGTTAAGATAACATAATATGCTTTTTTGTGCCTGAAAAACTTTGGAGTAATGTGGTGTGGAGGTTGGAGTAAAGATTACTTGAAGGTTTAATCAACTTAATGGTCAAACAAAAAAAAACACTATTGTGAAACTTTTCTCGACGATTTTATACCATTTAATATTTTTTCTTTTAATAGCACCCTTGTTTATATGTTTGATAACAAATTCCACCGCAAAGTATATGCCGGGATCATGGACGTGAATTTATTAACAAATTAAAATTGAGGATTTCAACAGTGATGAATTTGTTTCCCTAATAAAAAAAAATAACGTCAGAGCGTGAAATCATGAATGTACTGAACGCAGTGATAGACTAAAAGTAATATCTTCCACTTTGACATCAACAAATACATTGAGATCCTGAAATAAGCGCGCGGCAATAACTGCTTGAAATCTGCGTCGACTGCAGTCAGTCGGCTTCGACTGCATGCACTTTCACATATCGACTTCGCGCATGCAGTTTCACATATCGACTTCGCGCGTGCAGTCCGTCAAGGATCAAACTTAGTTGAGTATTCAGATCAAATTTACTATATTCACAGCTCCCTTAACATCTCTATCCCCATCAAAAGCGCAGCTAAGTGCCCAGAGGCCAGTATATAAACATTGGGTTTGGCGCCTACATATTTGCTTAGTAGAGGACCGAAACATTCATGATTAATTAAGGGCTTAGTTGTAGGACCCTAAGGCGCTTTAATATTTTGACATAGATAAGCTCACATATACTCTAAATAAATAGCGTCCTAACCAAACAAAATATCAACTATGTGTTTCCACACAAGAAACTGATAAATTTTAACATTTGAATATCGTTTCAAACGTAGTAGAGATAACTCAGTAATGTTGCGCAAGAACATCACATTAAAGTTTGCTAATTATATTGTTGTTTGAGACAATCCGACGACGGCGGGAATTTCGGAGAATAATGAAATTTTGTACTCTAATTGCATGTACTTTGAAGGCAGAACACAGTCTTACGAAAATAACTTTGATGAAATTGATTTATTAAAATAACGAGGATGTAAACGTACTTGTAATTTAAAGTACCTAAGTACATATCGCACTTGTGATGAAACACAGTCTTAAACTACAAAAAAATGTGATAAGGATTTGAGTCTATACTTGATTCCGCATAACAGTGAACATCTTGAAGCAAACACTTTGGAAAAAACACATAATAAAATTGAGAGTATATACTGTTGACTATACGGTGTGAAAACAAGATTCGTAAAAAATTTTCGCGATAGAAAAAAAACACAAACTTAGCTCGAAATTATATAAGATAACCGCAGTATTCCATCGGTAATTTACATATACCTATTTTTTTTAATCAACTAAACTAAATAGAACACGTATACTATACAATATACATTTTTCAAATAGCTTTTATTTCGTTTGTAAAAAAATAAAATCCGCAATAAAGCCAGTGTCCCTTCCGCTCGACACAAGCAAAATGAGCCTTCATGTACGGGAAAAATTTGCATTGGAACTGAGATATAGACTCTTAACATTGACATTTATGCACAAAACGGAGAACACATCATGCATTCCTATATTTTTCATAGAGGGTGCAATGCTTGTTAAGTATTATATTAACAGATCTTCAAATAATGGTAAACAGTAGGCCGAAAAAACTTTACCACTTCTCTGTCAATCTATGTAAATGTTAATCATTATTTCATCTGAGGAGTAATACATTTAAAAAAGTCCTTTTTATAAAACGTACATCGCTGCTTTTTATGAACTACAGTACCGGCACGTGATGGCCGTTTTGACAGATTACGATAGTGAAGTCAAATCAAGCCAGCACATCAAGCTACACATTGTCTTATCTTGTTCCGTTGCAATGGAGGCGATTTTCGAACAAAAATGTGTAGTCTGATGTGCCGTTGTCCGTACATCAACTATTATTAGCTCCTTCAATGTAGATCTGAATTAATACGAAACTTGATGAGCGGACGAACATCAAAACGGCGATCATAGCGTGCCGGTACTTTAGTGACCCAAACCCAAATAGTCAATTTTGTTACTTAATACACAGCTTTATTTAGAATATGCTAAATTTAATTGTTAACTTATGGGAGTTAATGCGACCATTATAAGGGTGCTGGTGAAATTACAGGCACATGGCACTCGTAAATTTAAGTATCAGGGTGACGGGCCCGACGGCACCGCCCCTGCAAATGATTTTTGCGATAAAACTCTGAATGGCACTGCAACTGCTATGGATAGGCGTGTCGCTTACCACCAGCCACACGACTTCTTCGTCCCGTTACTTGATATCATATAAAACACAAAACATCTAAAAGAATTCCTAATAAATAAAAGTTAGTATAATATTAAGCAATTCTTCAATGACAAAATATAATTTATTTGTTTGTTATAATTAATTTGTTTGTTCTCAATTTATCTCATGCATGTATAATTGTAATGATTTATGTAATATGATCTCAATTTTATTGTTTTTATAATAAGTGCCCTCATCACTTTGTTGTGCAGTTACATGGTGTCACATGTACATTTTCAAGCCACTGTACTTAATATAAGTGTGACAATGCAATAAATGAATAAATGGATATACCTCAATATTCTTTTAAAAAAATCCCAATCAAATAGGCACTTTTGAGGTAGTCCGTAGTATATAATTATTTTTATTCGAAAAATCAACAGTTAAACCCAATTTTTGGTATCATCTGTAAAGGAAGCTTCATGCTGATGGCATATGAACAAATGAAATTTGTTAACTTACCCGCAACCGCTGTGCGTCATCCAACGAAGCTGACGCGTGGTAACTTAATACCTGCAAACAAAATAATGTACTTAATATTGTCTTTATTTTATTAATGAGATAAAATTATAAATACTCTAATAAATTCATAATTTCTCACAAGTGGCGCTGACAGTAAAAAAGGCGTTTAATCCCAACACAAAGGTCTGTAACAAACGCTAAGAGAAATTCGTAAAATCTGCTTTTTTATTGCCCCGCACTAGGGAAGCTCAGTATCGCGGGTGCCAGGGACACACACGTAGACAACCACAAATTACACCCAAACTCACGAGATAAATAAATCGACTCATCCGAAGAACAGAGTCCGATGTTATTATATAGCGAAAAGAGCACAAGTACGTTACGAGAATAATTTCGTTATTCAAATTTAAGGCCTATTAAAGGTGTTTTGAGAATTTATATATCTTATTTCGTTTCGAAAATATAAAATCGACTAACGATCGATCTGACATCGACAGGGAAGAAGAACGACCGAAATGTACTATGTCCTGAGAACAAGTGGTCTTGAACATAGATCTTAGTTTTACGGATGAGTCGAAATGTATGCCATACAAATATTTCTCCCGGCAAAAATCGAACCCGGGACCTCTTCGTGGCAGTCCGGCATGGTAACCGTTCGGCCACGGAGGTAGTCGATTGAGATAGTATGACTCTGTAGCTTAGTTGGTTGAGAGTGGTGGCAGCGGTATGGCAACAGACACTGGTTCGAGTCTAGTCAGATCAAAGGATTTTTTGTGTTGTTTGATCTTTGTATGAACAATAATATATCGCACTGTTAAAACAATAGTGTATTAACTCAAAAAATGTACTTTTTCAGAATCCATAAAAAACGACTTACTTACTTGGCGTGATTTTTTTTTAAATGTGTGCATAGGTTAGTTGATAACAGACGTCTAAACAATTTCATTTAAAAATGAAATGGAAAAATAATATTTCATATTTTTGAGTACGGATTCGTTTTGTCCAGAACTAAGTAACAAAAAGTTTGCCTCATTTTGAGTTAAGTATATATCTTTTAATTGTGTCTTACAATATACTAACGACAGTTTTATTGACGTGTAGAGAAACAAATTTTACGTTCAACAATAGTATAATTTTAAATTTCACATATTTTGAGTTGCAACACTATTCTAATAGCAGCTCGATATATTTTTTGTGTTGTTATGTCGGCAAATTTTAAGAAAAAATGATACGGCTCAAAAAGATTCCACTAGAATTTGACTTACGTGTTTTTGTCGTTCGACTCGTTCGATACATTGATTGAAAAGAATAATGTTGGTTTTTTACTTCAGTGTGCCGATCTTATTAATTAATTAATTCAATGTTTTCTTTTTGTCTCCATAGAAATTTCTAGACTCAAATATAGTGATGTTCATTTACGATAACTGATGTTTATCGACAATAAATGGTTACTGAAATGTTTGAATTTCTTACTCTGATCTTGCGTTACCACGGGTTGGTGAAGATGTCACTGTCAAGAGTAAACTCGAACCATCAACGAATTTAATAAATTAAATTATGTTGTTTTTTTATGAAGGATTTATGTAATTTTCTACAATTGTTTCTAATTTATTTTGCATGCATAAGTAAAATAAAGCCGATTTTATTTTATTTATTTTTTAAATGCATTTGCTATGGAAATTTAAACAAAGTAAGAAATAGTAATAACAAAACCAATCTTTCGATTTTCCTGTAGCTTCTATCCAACCTTCTATTATTTTGAACTCATTGGAAAAACTTAAAAATTAAAAATACTCTACGTTTAATCTACGAGTATAATGGAATTTAAATATTTAAATTATCTAAAACAATTATACACATACAGTTTTCTTCATACAACAGCAACATACAAATTGACAGGAAATTGAAACGGTTGTCCGAAAATTGAGTTGTGTAAAAGTTACTCCAAATGAAATGTTTAGTAATAATAATAAAATAAAAGAGATCAATTTAACGTAACGTGTTTGTAGGCGTGTCACCTCGATATGATCATTTTGATAATATCGAGGCGCAACCAACCACGCCCCCATGCCAAATCTCCCCTTTTTTCTATATCTATGGTCACGACGGCCTGTAGTCGTAACCACAAAAGAAGTCATGAATGACAGTTCATCGTGTTGTACTATATGTGAACAACTTCATTTAAATATACAAGCCACGACACTTTAAACGGCACGACTATCTGTCGTCAGGACATAATGGGAATGCGCCCTAAGGGTTAATCGTCATACGAAGAGGGACTTGCTACTACATTACTTTGTTACAATGTTTTATGAAATGTATACGGTTATGCCTTAGAAATTTCGCTAACATTATTTTAAAACATAAAAATGTGTTCAAAATAAATCTTCCACTTAGGTTTTCCGTAAATAACCACTATAAATACACTTGATATCGTTCCAAACAGATTACAAACTTACATCAAGTGTCACGCTCTGCTTAGCCATGGCAGTGATGGCCTTCTCGTACATATGCGTGTTGTGGATGCCCATGCCGCAGAATATCGCGAAAGCCTCCACGAAGTTCTCGTCGTTCTTTGTGAAAAGCAGGCCATCGAACTTGTTTACGAGCTGGAAGTAAAATGGCAGAATATTAATTAGATACCTAGAATATTAGATAGATATACAAGGTTAATTTTATATTTATAGAAAAAAATTGACGGAAGAAGTTTGTGCGACCTACTTATACATATTAGTAAACTTAAAAAAACTCATTTTATCAATATCAATAATCCTAAATCATGAATATTGAATTGTTGTCACACTATTGACTTTACGTTAAGGTTAAATTTTTGCCAAAAAAGTGGTACATTAGGGTGACCATAAAAAATGGAAAGTATTCAAACTGGTAATTTTGTTACGAAATGTGTGTTAACTCTAGATATACAAAAGTAACCCTGTGTAAGTGACTGATTTTGAAGTAGGGAATTTCCTAACGCGTGAATACCGAAACAGGAGAATTACTGAACTATGTATTTTAATTTGATTACTAGACATGAGCGTCGCATTGCTGCCGCGACTGTTTACCATGCGGCCGCTGCAGAGGAATTTGACTAGCGTAAAAACGGCGTGGCGAAAATTTGTTTTATGTTAATAAAGTAGCAACTTCTCTGTTAGTTATTTTCAGTATTACAATACAATATTTCCGTACAATTAAAATTTATGACGTTCCTATCTTCCCACATAATATTCATACTAAATTTAAACAAAGAGCGTTTATTTTTATGTGATTATTTTTTTATAAATATTTTTTAAACAAATAGTAGATACATATCTGCTAAAGTACAAGTTAAAAGTGAAGTTGAAAATGAGCAAAGGTTGATTTAAACAATGTTTTAGTGTCACGCCGATTATGCCTGGCGGAAAAGCAACTGACGCCCGCCGCCGGCAACGATTTTAATATCGGCGCACATGTTTACTACCAACACCCACACTAAAATCATACCTGCAAAATTTTTTTCCACATTGTGATAGGTGATAATGGTAATAATTTTTTTATAACAAAAAATATTATAATTGGAGCCATCTTTATTAGATCCACATTGAATCGATGATTTAAATAAAAACTGAAGGTGACTCTAGAATTGAGTTTCACTATATGGTTCTCGTCAAACGTTATTATTATTGTGAGAATGCCCTAGAGTAGAGTAAATTCAACAACATTCCAATTTTTGTAAGTGCAAGAGAATGCTGAGAAAATATTCTGTTATAAAGTAGAACAACAAATGTTTTAAATTGTGGTGACGTTAACTAGAAAAGCCACTCTAAGTCAAAGTAAAGAAAATTCTTTTTCATAACGGGACTATATTTGATACTACCCAAGTGGCATGAGTTTATGCGCTATACAGTCTCGTATGCGATATCGAGTCACTCGAAATAAAAAATAAAATAAAATTGAAGCAGTTTCCTCTCTGTATCATGAAACAAATTAACTACAAATGGAATCTAAAGAGGAAATTGTGCTGTGCACAAATATTGTGTGAAATTTCTGTATAAAGTTACTGAACCAAATTCAAATTTTACTCTGCGGGCAGCGTTGTTGTATTTACGCATTCATTAACTGTTAAATTTCAGAGAGAGTCGGTACTTAATTAAAACAGATACTGTGAAGTTACATCCATTTATTGTACAAATAGTTTTTCACATATTTTCAATATAGAGACTACGTAATATTAAAACAATAGTCGAACGCCACAAAGTAAATAATTCTTTATCATGTACGAAAAAGTCAGACAGAAAACAACAAGAGATGAAAACAGTAGCACGTTTTGTGACGTTCCTGAAAACAAAAATAAAAAGCAGAGTTGCGCAAAATAACTCAACCAAATCCTAACGAACGGTTTGGCTTATAGTTGCCGCATTAAATTTTACTGGACGTACATAATATAAAATAACCGTATATATTCTACTCACATGCAACTGCATTGTCAGTTCGTTAATTCCAAAAACAAAATTGTTCGAAAAGAAAACTTAGACAATAAGAGATTTATTGCCAAAAATAACGCACTTTTTAGAAAACGACGCATTATCTGAAGAAGAAACTAAGCGATGTGCTTGAATTATACTCGTTTTCAAATACCAATATAGCGATAGACATATTGGTATTTGAAAACGACGGAATTTCGATTACCTACAAATACCATGAAGTCAGCCAGCCAAATTTCAAAGAGCTCAGTATAACATTAACTATGTTAACTTAGTAATGAAAGTCCAGTCTTCCCGACGGACTTCCAGATGACGAGTATGTTCAAACAACAAGCTATATTATAATTTTTATAAAACTTATTGGTCCCTATAAAATAACTCATTCTCGCGTAGAGGATACATAGCTTTTTACCCATTTTTGGATGCCAAAATATATAGCTTCTACACGTATTATTTACTTGCATACGAAGCAGTGTGTTATGTAGAATTTATAATTTTTACGAAGGTCGTGTCTTTACGCATGTCCTGTCGCAGTCTCCGCATTTAGTCGCATTGCGTCATTACTATCACAGATTTAAACCTCTTTTATGCTAATTAATCGGATCATATAATAAAGCCACATGTTATCATGCGACAAAAGTGCTTTTTACACATGAAAGTTATTAAAATAATACGAACTTCATGAAACAAATTATGTAAATTATGTGAAATTTTATATCACTCTTATTAATTAAACATAAAAAGTTATGGACTAATTTCGTGTTTAAGCTTCTCTTCTGAAAATTTAGTCATTTTACAGATGAGGCCTTGCAGACGCACCCTTAGTATAATAACACCAAGGGTGCGATGATTTATATTATTTATTTATACAAACGGCGTAAATATTTATTGTTGTTTTACATAAAATTAAAATAAATCATCGATTTATTGCATGAAACACGGTTATAACTGGCCTGAACAACGGCTGCGGGCGATCGGAGCGGGGATTCCGTTCGCCAGTAAGTTTAGCAGCCGCCAGGACGACGGGGAGGTATGACCCGCTTCGCCGTGAGGAGGGGGGAGGATATAGCTCTTCCTAGGTGCTGGGCGGGTTCCGGTGCGCAAAGTTGATGCCGTATCCCTCCCACTAGAGCCGAGAAGGCCACCGTGAGGTTTTAACCGGTAAAAGTCCGGCTAAAACTACATATAATCCGCGGGGGCATCGAGGAGGTATCCCAGGAGGATTTCACATTATCCCACGAAAATAAAATGGTCTGGACTTTTGCAGTAGTGCCCAGTGTAAATTGCATAGTTTGAGACCTAATAATGCAGCTTGTATATTAGCCTACACAAAGTCCTTTTTTTAAAGTGCTTTGGAAGACAAGGACAATCGGAAGACAAGGGTCATATAACGTACGTATATGGATGTACAAAAAGGTAACTTCAATTACTGAAATACAGAGTGACACCAAAAATAGAATAATCTTGTGTTTTACCTGGATTACACCAATGATTCTGCCCTCGGAGTTCTTAATAGCCATGCAGAGGATGGTGTTGTGCTTGAAGCCCGTACCTTCGTCCACTGCGGGGTCGAAGCGATGATCTGCGTATGCATCTGGGATATTCACCGTCTGTGAATATGAAAAGTTGTCATAAAATTCAGTTTTATTTTTGATATCATTGCCGAAACTCAATTGTACACTTGCCCATAGAGCAGTAGAGAAAACAAATTTAACTCTTTGCAAAGAATTCACGTCACGACAACGCCGGCAAATCTGCCTAATGAATCTGATGTCAGATACGCTATGGGAATTGTCCATATTTATTTTTTATTTATATTTCAGATACATATTAGGTCCATAATTGTGTTACTCTTGGCCGACTTTAGTATTTAATAATTAACAATGATTTTGTTTTTTCAGTTAGTTTCCATTTCAAAGGACAATCAAATTTCGTAGATATCATAATTCAAGATCTTGTTTCTGCTGCTCCACACTCTATCTATAAATGAGGTCGTTTTCTTTCGCCATACTGCATCGAAACTGTCTGTGCGTGCCTCAACAAATACGCTCGAAGCATTATGGAATTGCGGCAGCCGCTGCTGCCCTGAAGGCGTTATTACATTGGATGCGCAAAGCATTGTAAGCCTTTTGAGTGTATACGACCTACAGACTCGACAAGTACAGAGAAGTGCAGAATGCTTTAAATAGTGTTATTTTAACTGCAGCTGTAAATCGTGCAAATCAAGGGTCGTATTCCAAAACTCTACTCAATGCTCAAGTCAGGACTTGAGTATTGCAGTGAGCACTGAAAATCATACTCATGTCTTTGCCATTAGGGTCGTATTTCCAGTGCTTGAAATCATACTCAAGTCTGCTCAAGTCCTGACTTGAGCATTGAGTAGAGTTCTGGAATACGACCCTAAGGGTCAACATATTCGCCCGGACTGACAACGCTCTGGGCTCCCTCTCTATGTCTGCATAATCGGTATCATTATGCGCATTATTTGGGACATTTTCTTCCAGGAGCACCTTGACCAGAACTAGCGGATCTTCCTAGTAGTGCTGGTAAAGGTATACTTAGTTCCTTGGTATGAAGGTATAACTATCGACATAATATGTATTATGCGAGTGAACGACTAGTATGTAGCGAAGTGATAGTTTTTTGTATTATACCAAGTGAAGGGACAAACAAGTCATGCATCTCGTGGTAAGCGACACGCCTATCCAAAGCAGTTGCAGTGCCACTTAGAGGTTTAAATCGCAAAGATCTTATCGGCACTGTCACCACGCCCGTCACCATGAGACATAAGTTGACGAATGCCATGTGCCTGTAATTTCATAAGCACCCTTACCCTTCTAAACCGGAACGCAGTAATGCTCACATCACTGCTTGGTGGCAGAAATAGGTAAGGCGGCGTTACTTCCCTGGACGAACTCTTTCACAAGGAGTTCTACTGCTACTACATACGCAAATATATCTAAATTAAGTTTTTCTTCTGGTTAATTTCAATTAATTTATCTTGTAAGTCAAAAGCAGTACTCGTTGTTCGATTTAAGTCTGAACTTGTTTGTCTTTATTGAATCGAAACTGTTTCCCGAACATCAATTAGTGTTATCTGGTCAAGTAGAAAAGGAATTAAATTAATTTGTTACTCCGTGAACCGAATAAAGGTTAGACCGCGGAAAATATCTGACCTTGAGTTGAATATTTTTTTCAAGCAGTTAACTTTCCCACCCTGCCTACGCATAAAATTAATAAAATAAATAACACAAGCGCGACTATAGTTACAAATATCACCTCATAAAATATACCCTACGCGTGTTTCGCGCCTCTACGAGATACCTTCAAGGGTGTTGATTGTTCGACGATCAGTACAACCGAATGAGGTCGCTCAGAACGGTTGAACATTTCTATGCCCCATTATTACCATCGTTGTAATTTAAAAATACCCGCAATAAAGGACTGATAACGTGACATTCAGCTGTTCATTTATTATACATGCTCTTTGTTGTATCTAATTATTTTCATTTGTATTTCGCACGATCTAAACGCGGGGTAGCAAATTGATTTACTTCTATTTTTCTATAAATATTCGCCTGTAATATTTATGTGTAATATTGGTGAATATAAAAAATAGTACTTTGTTTTATTAAAGCGGAGTTGCCATTTTCATGCCCGAGCCGCAGGCGAAGGTTTAATCGTCGCGAATTTTTTATTTTTGTTTGCAACATTCACGACACTTTTCGATAAATTAGTGACCAATATATATAAACATTTCCATTTTTCGTAGTTCTATAAGTATCTTACATTACTTACTTCTTTAGACTACACTTTTAGGCTTGTCTTTTATGATAAACTCTTCACTTAAGACGACAGGAGAAGTTAATTTCATAATATCCGCCAAGACACTTGAAATATTTATGTACTTATGTATTACAAAGGAAAGAGAAATAATGTTTCGCAACAATTTTGCAAATATTTTTGTTAGTACATTATGAAGGTCTTTTAATAAGACAAATAAAATTAAACATAGATTCGCAAATATTGAGTCTTACAATTTTTTTAAAATAAGTAAATAGTCAACGTACTTATATATCGTAAACTTAACAAATTTATACATACTTGACTGTTTAGCTTCCTTAGAATTTTATAAAATATTCATAATTAATTCTTAATAAAGAGAAAAACTTCCTAGTAAATGTAGTAAATTAAAGAATTGAACTTGTAGAAATTAAAAAAAAATCTTTTTTGCACTCGTTACCGCTGTAGAACGAGCAACATTATAAGCAATTGTATTTAATTTAGAAGAATAGCCTTTATTCTTCTACTAAGGATAGGATTTATATTACTTATTTAATACAAAATCCTTATTTTATATCAAATATTAAAATGCGATTTAAACCGAACCATTACCCTAAACGAAGAATGTGAACAAAACTTTGGGAATGTATAAGTTTTATATTTGATATGTTTCTGACGAAACATACATGTATACAAGTATATGACGTATGTACAATTTGCTGAAATTTTCATACAAAACTCCAAGGCTAGGCAGCTAGGTTAGGACAGGATTTATGACGTCAATCTCAAAAATAGAAATATCGTTTCCATTTTTGAGTATAATTTCATTTATCTAAAAAAGTCATTAATTGAACCGAGTTAATTCTCGAATTTTCAATGAAAATATTTTTTTTGTGGAAAATTAAGGGCGCTTTCAAATTACGCACTTGTAGCAGCGCTGCAGTGGAGCGATTGTGGCGCGGCAGCGCCGTATCCGTGGCGCTTCCAGTAATTTTTAGTTCACTCCTTGTGACTGCAAAACTGGCGCGCGCGTGTCACGACAATAGTGCTACAACTGCACTCCTAAATATTGTATGAAAATTAGTAGTGGCGCGGCTGCAGCGATACATGGCGCCACTGTAGCGCTTCTATAAGCGTCTTATTTGAAGGCGCCCTAAGCATACTAAGATCATAACTAAAATTAACCAAATTGCCTAATCTATGTCTCTTCAAAATTACCTATATTGCACTAAATCTAGTTGCTGTACAGATTCCATCGAATATTAGGATATCCTTTGAAATATCGAAACTAGAGAAACTCAATTTAGTAACAAAATGATACGAGGACAATGTCTCAGTGAAAGCAGACCGGAATATTATCAAGTTACACCACGTTAACTTACTAAAGCATAAGGGTAATTATCTAAATCCCTGTTCGAATAATTCAGTAATCTCTACTCTCTATAGAAAACTTTTATCGTACACTATTATAGCTCTATGACGTCTTTTGTTCAAGATTTTTAATTAACTGAGTTAGGTTATAATTCTGATGGTATAAACACGAAATGTATGTTTAGAGAAAGTAATTATAGCCTCGCGTGCAACACTCATTTAGTTATGTATCATATAGTTAATTTCCGTAGCAACAGAGCTCCTTGTGATAGAGTTCATACAAAGTACTGCCACCTTACCTATTTCTGCCACCAAATAATATTAGCGTTACTGCATTCCGGTTTTGAAGGGTAAGGTTTCTGGTAAAATTACTAGCATATGGTACGTGTCAATTTATGTCCCAAAATGACGTAACGGGCGCAGTGGCAGTGCCCTTCAGATCTTTGCAATATAAAGCTTGAGTGGCACAGTAATGGACAGACGTGTCGCTTGCCACCAGGCGCACGACTTGTTCATCCCGTCACTTGGTATTATAAAAAAATTAACTAATGGATGGTTACAACTTCGACGAAATTGAATTAATCATCAAAAGTTGATAGGCATTATTTAGGTGTACATGCTCCATCGCCGACGTCATCGTCACTTTCCATCAAATTCAAGAAGGAGGTCAAATGCGCACTTACATTTTATAAAACCGCAAAAATCAAACACAAATTATGAAATTTTAAATCGAACTGTGTTAATAAGTAACACTTTGTACGTCCCACTAGTAGGCACGGGTATTTGTCCTGTAATGAGATGTTTAGGCCATAATCTGCCACACTCGCTTATTGCAGGTTGGGGTCTATGTACGTTTTTCAAGAATCGTGAACCTATTAGATATGCAGGTTACGTCGTTTTCGAGTATTGCCACTAAATATTCATAAATGTGCGTAACTCAGAAATTGACGTCTGAGTACATACGCCACAGTGGTACGCCTAGTGGTAAGCGACACGCCTGTCCATAACAGTTGCAGTGCCACTCAGGGCTTTAAAGCACAAAGCTCTGAGGGGCACTGCCACTGCGCTCGTCACCCTGAGACATAAGTTGACAAGTTTCATGTGTTTAAACTTTTATTGAATTGACATTCAATTGTTTTTTATGTGAAATCACTCCACTAGTTTGTTATAATTATTAATACAAAGATCAAACACTGGCCGGATTCAAACCGACGTCTTCTAGCAAACTGTGCCAGCCGCTATGCCAACTAAGCCACGGAACATACCTGCGGACCTCACGAATTTATTAAAAGGTTCATGTGCCTGTAATTTCACTAGCACCGTTACCCTTCAAAACCGGAACGCAGTAATACTCACATTACTGCTTGGCGGTAGAAATATTTAAATGACAAAAATCCCTAGTAGCGACTCGTTTCGCTCTAGCAGGAATTCTCGACTTTATGATGTTTGAAATAAATATGGTAAATGATAACGTGTACTAATGTTTATTTAACGCGTAAGTACATAGAGGAACCTCTAGAGTTTCTTGCTCATTCCTCCCAAGAGAATCTGCATTACGCATGAGCAGTAGAGTTTCATAAATATGACGATTTCAAGTGTTATTTGCTTACGTATGAAATAAAGATACTTGACGTGCTAACACTGTTCAAAAAACTTATACACGTAAAAAAATTTGAGACCTTATCGATTCGTCGCGCACATTTTGCAAAAGTTTTTTTTTTCATCATGAGTACAATCACCAGGTGAAATATTAGACTATATTTTTGTTTACACCTTATTATTAAAGTTTGATTGAGTAACGCACTAGAAAGTTTATTTTTACATGTACAACATTTTAATTCGGCAAGGTATGTGAGACAGCATTTTTTTTAAATCGAATTCTTAGGTTTTCGCGTTTATTACACATAGAAAACTAAAACTATTTTTTTGAATGTAAGTCGCGTATATTTGTCTTTTCACACAAACCCACGTTTCGGGCCGTTTGCAGGTTCCATGGTCACGACTGACGAGTCAACTAGTTACTTACTGGTTGATTGATGACTTCTGCAAAGCACGCAATTGAAAATCGAAAAAATAGTTTCATTTCCTAAGCCTTTTTTTGTTGTTCCAATCAACGGACATGAACACGTTGAGAATGAATCGGAAATTCCGTTTCCGATATATCAACTAACGCTAGAGAGAGATAACCGGTAAAGTCAGTGGTAGGGGGATGCTCCGTCCCTTTTTAGCAACACGATCATAAATACTTATGTATTAGCTTGTATGGCGTCATTACGTTTGTCTTTTGAAATATTGCTGTTCCTTTCGAACTCTTGATTTATCATCTCATTTTTTTTTCAGCGAATTTGCGAAAATCTATTGCGTATGACCTTTGGCCATAAATGTACGTCTACAATAATAAGAAAGAAAATAAAATGCACTCGACTGCTCGTATTTTGCAGATATTCTATTGTAGGTTATTAAAAATATTATGCACTGTTACAGATTGCGTCAAAAAAGGTTATTAAGTAAAAAATATAATTTGAATTAAAATCTCTAGAATAGACTTATAACTACGGCCAGCATCCATAAGCGCAATAAGATCTAATCGAGGAAAAACTACATAATCAAGTACTGATGTAGCTAAACAATAATAATAATAATAATAATAATATATAACGCACACACTCGTAGCCTAGCACTAGGGTAACCCTGTATCGCGGGTGCCATGGGGACACACATAAACAATCACAAATGACATCCAACCTCACGAGAGAAATAAAACGTGTAGGTAAGTCATACAAATATTTCTCCCGGCACGGGTATCGAACCGGTTAAATGCGTGGCAGACCAGCATGGAAAACGTTCAGCTACGGAGGCAGTAACGAAAACAAAACCAAAGATGCTGCTCACACTACTCATATTTTTTATATAAAAACTTACATATCATTATTTTTCTACTGCCATCTCACAGTACATCTAACGCAATTTATGAGAAAATCGCAACAATATTAGTTCACTGCGCAGTGTACTATGATTAATGCAATTTTCACACATGCACGCAATTATTATTTACTGCGTCTGCAATCTTTCATGCTCGCGCGCATCCTTCGCAGAAGTTATTATAATAGTAAATTATACAATTTAAAAGTGCGAAAAATGTTTAAACTTCCGATACAAACCTGCATCAGCAGTTCATCAATTTGTGCGGTAAAGAAAACCATTAGTGTGAATTTTTTAGTCATAAAACAAAAGTTATTCTTAGAGTTCTTAGGTTTTCGCGATCGTTACACTTTGGAAATGAAACTATTAATTCAATCAATTATGTCGAATGTTAACAACTTTAACTATCTCAACCGTGACCATTGGACAGCAACGCTGGCAAGGTATGTTTGAAAGGGCAAATATGTGCGTAATTTAGGTAAAAAAATTGTATCAAAATGCTGTCCCTTTTTTAATTAGTAACGGGGCAAAAAATAACTAAATATTTTCACAACATTCAACCATTCACTCAGTCACTGCGGTTTTCATTACCTGTATTGCCACTGGGTACTGAAATAATTTGAATAAAAATTTCGGCATTGACTAACCTCTCCCGTGGTAGCAACGTATCCAGTGATGCCTATGTTGATTGGGAAACGGCTCTCGTAGGGCGACGTTCTCGGCGTCTCTGGATCAGCTTCGTCACCGGCCTCCAAGTCGAATACCCGTGAAAAGCTGCCCTTGGATGCCTCGTGAACTAGGAGCACCTGAAGTGAAAGTACTAATGTTAAGAAAGGTTTCATCATCATCATAATTGACTTTTGATGATGATGATGATGTTTAAAAAAGTAGTAGTAGTCAAATTATTCGTCCTTCGGGACAGGCTAAGGCATCTTGTCTAATAAATGTAGGTTTGTAATTTTTTTCATAGTTTAATATTCTGACATTTTTTCGCGAAAAATCGTTATATCTTTACGGCGGCTATTTTGAACCTCTTTAATAAAAGAAAACTCGTTGTTTGTCTCCAAATTCTTTTCTCCAAGGATAAAGGCAAAGGTCAAAAAATTAAAACCATACAGTCAAGTGTGGGTGAAATTTTCTTTTGCTACTTTTAAGTAGATAAGCATACATACATCAAGGCTTCAGTCCATTATATTTTACAGGCATCGTGGCTTAAGAAAACTCGTTAGGTGAAAAACATCTATGTGTCTATCTATTCTAGATCTAGGCTTTTTAAAATTTATTTCATGACTTTGGATTTAAGATTCATAGTCGAAGTATAAGAGATGTTTTATTATGTCTCTGTGTTGCCATTGAAAGAACCATTTCTACTAAATATCTGTCAAACTTTTGCTAATATATATAATTTTGATGTATATATATATGCATATATAAATTGTATAAAGGTAATAAATGCGAAACTTACACGAACTTGAATTAGAAATAAATGCTAATGTTATGCTACAGAACCGCCAGACCTTGCCAATTTAGATGTAAATGTACTTTATGAGTACAATATTCGTGAGCTCTAAAGTTTTATGATAAGACAGCCATAACAGTACGTAAGTGTAAGATCATATTTCGTAAACCACCTGGTAATTTGAATTGATGGTAATTTAAATTGTTGTAAAAGAACAGAAACAAGAAAATAAGAATATTTTCACACTAAAGTTGTGTATATATAGAGTTCAGGCAACACAAAACAATACTCACAAGGTTATTGTCCTAATAAAACATTAAGTGTCTGAAAATGGAGACCGACAAGTTGGCTCTTGGGGGAATTAGGTACAGTATTACAAAATTATATTTGCGGGCAATACTGACAAATGTTGCATTGGCATGCAGTAAAAAACCATAAAACTATACATGTTAATATTTAGGTAAAAGAATCTTATATTTTTTGAGTTACAGAGATTAAGCATTTTTTGTAAAAGAATAAGTGTGCATTTGGCCTCTGTCTCACGTGATGGAAAGTGACTATGAGGTAGACAACGAAGCATGCACGCCTAAATAATTTACGCCTATATATATAAACGCCTATTCACTCTCGCCTTGAAAAGGCCCAAATTATAGCGTTCAGGGAATGTACTTGGTGCACATCAATTCAATGCTAAATTTAACGCCTCAATTTCTGTAGATATCAAATATGGTAATGATAAATGATAACTGTGTATGAATACACAGTTTTAATTATCAGTCATTCTGATTAACAAAGTATCATACTAGTATGGAAGTCAGGGCCATATGACGACGTGTAACCACTTTATTTCATCAATAAATATTATAAAGACTACTAACATACATATTTTTAATTCTTATGTTAATTTATGAAAGTTCCTCGAATAAAAACAAATGTTAGTTTCATAAGCTTTCAAGAGGATTTAAAACTGAAGAAAATAAACGGTTTGGTTGAGCATTTGTTCCCTGTGCAAGATAACTTTGTCGTAGATATTATTAGAAAATACAACGTAGCAAAGATCTCATGGAATATTACCAGTACACAAAGGAATCGCATGTGATAACTGACCATAAAGTCGTCATTCCTTTTACGGTCTTCTGAAGTACTGAAGCTCATGCGTAATACTTAATAACTATGGGGAAATTGTGATCAAAGTAATAAAACTAACAAGGAATAGTAAAATTGTGTCAATTGACTAGATATTGTGGACAGAGATAGACACTGACACAGACACTTTTCGAAAGAGATTTTCCAACAAATTGTTATTGTCAGCCCAAATAAGAATAAAAACAATTAGTTCCCGAGGAAGACTTAGCGTTTTATATTTAAATAAATATCTATTTCTAAAAGAACAAACGGTGCGATTTCTCTTCTTGTTTATTTATATTTAAGTCCTCAATTAAAAGACCTTTGTTTTAAGCTTTTTATTCAAGACCATGAACTCCTTGACAAACCTAAACTACTATTAAAAGTACTAAAACACAGACTATTAAAATTTTCTAAAAATTCTCCACGCGTAGTTCAGTCTTTTGCGTCGCTATTACGTATAATTATCATCTCAAGATACTATTTTTCCGGATTTAAAACGCGTATATTTGTTTTTTCACACAAACCGACGTTTCGGGCCCTTTACAAGTCCCATGGTCACGGTTCACTGTCAATAGTGACCATGGTACTTGTAAAGGACCCGAAACGTCGGTTTATTTGAAAAAAAAATATACACGCGATTTAAATCCGGAATAATAGTTTCATTGCCTATGTGTAACAATCGCGAAAAAATATTTTAAATTTTAATATTGTTACATTAATAATACGAAATAATTAATTATATTTTGTATACTATTCATTATGTAAGAATACAAGATACAACAAAAAAGTATGTAATTATAATAAAATAAATATTGATAAAAATCCGGATAAGCGCGTTATAAACAAAACAATGCAAACTGAACATAACTGGTTCTTGTACGTAAATATTTTAACTACAAATTGTACTGGTAAAATAATTATTCTTTTTTTTCTTTTTTTTTTCATTAATGCAATAATGATTGATTTCAATGAGAAATCATATGAAAATTCTCTATAAAGTTTATTGTGGGACGCGACACAACGTATTGCAGATGAAAATCATCAGCGTTCCAACCACAAATTGTTAAAGCTAATTAATTACATTGGATATCAGCTAAATAATAATCGAAACAGAAGACAACGAAAAATCCCTAAATGATACCTTTACTTGTCCACCATCGCGGATAAAGTCTAATAAGTCAATAATTATGTATGAAAGCGGTGTGTAGAAGAGCTGTTTTTCAATAATTAACGGGTTTAAATGTGAGAAAAAAAAAGTAACTTTCAAATGGCTGCTAAGCTAAGCTGCCTTTTTTAAACCTTTTATTAAGAGAAGTACAAACGTACCACTTTCCTTTTAATGAAAAGAAGTGACGGAACGAACAAATCGTGGACCTGGTGGTAAGCGACACGCCTATCCATAATAATTGCAGTGCCATTCTAAAGCTTTAAATAGCAAAGACCTAAGGGCACTATCACTGCCCCCGCTAACTTAGAAGGTTCCTGTGCTTTGACCTTCTTGTATACCATAAGGATCGGTAGAGAGTCACTATAACCAAAACTAATCTAGAAAGATATGGACCTGCCCCCACTACAGGCCAACATTTTCACCAGCAATCTTACCTTTCAAACACCTTACTTTTCAAAACAGGAACGCAGTAATGCTCACATTACCGTTTGGCGGCAGAAAAAAGAAGAAAGGTTAGTACTTCTCTGGATAAACCCTTTCCTGAGAGCATTACTTTGCTTTACTATTAAATTGCATGTTAGAAGCTCTATTTCTAAATGCATTGGTTGATTTTTAAAGTCATTCGGCGGACGGAACATTCAACAAAAAACTATATCTAAACTTATCCTAGCGCCGCACCTACCGAAAACAAGCCATCTTCCAATACATTTAATTTATCATAGATTAGAACTTGTTTAACAGAGTAATGATGTCTGATTGGTAGACATTGCTAAGCGCCTAAAATAACAACTTTGAATTTCGGAAGTTAACGTTGCGAACGTCAAAATCCTTATATTTGTTTAATAAACTTGCCACCAGACGACACATTTGCGACATTTAAGCTAAGAAAACCACAAAACAAATATTAGGAAAGCATTATTAACTTAGCTACAACATTCTGAAACTCAAATCAAAGATTACGTAACCTTACGTAACTATGAATTCTTCTTAGCTTTTTAGGAAGTGGTAGTAAGCATCCTCGCAGCATGTGGCCTACGGGCCGTTTGCGGTCCGCCGAGCTTGTATGCACAGCCGTAAATACTAAACTACAATTTTGTAAGTTATTTAAATCTTGAGTCAGATGTATTTAGGTTTTGAGTTTTATTTATTACACGGGTTATAAAAACCAGTCGCCTTATTACTAATTTGAAATAGATGACCTAAAAAACGTCAATCAAACATGTTGCGGTCCGTATAGGTAACAGCAAAAATATTTATACGTATAGCCCTAGGGAAAATGTTGACTACAGCTGGACTAAAGGACTATGAGAGAAATAATAATAACAATTATCAATCATCTGTTTAGGCCTCGTGACATTACAGTTCACAGACTTATAATCACATAATATATGCAATTATAAATTCGGATTGTCGTTGTGATAGGCAATAACAGCCAAATTGGGTACAATCTCACTTGTGTCGAAAATAAATTACCGCCATTTTTTCGCAACGATATCGATTTCGGAACCTAGTCACAAATCCGTGATATATAGATCCGAGATACATGATTCTTGGGGTCCAATGGCTGATTTAATTCTGACATTGACGCATTAAGCCGTCAACGAACGTCGTTATTCCTTACGACTTAATTTATTGCAATAGAAAAAAGGGCATCTACATACATTTTATTTCACGCCCTTTTCCCATCGGATTGGACGGAGGCAACAGTCTTCCACTCGCTACGACCAACACGCATCGTTAAGGGTACACTTGTTCTGGTCTTTCTTTAAGACGTCCTCAATTTGGCCATGGTAAGTTCGCCTAAACAACGGTGATAGTCTAATGTTTTGACCTACCAGCTCTCAAACCGTGGGTGGGTTCGAGTTCAGACTTGCGGCTTAGTGAATTTTTCGGAATTGTGCGAAATTAAATTTTAAATTTACTATAAACTTTTCGGTCAAGGAAATGATTGTGAGGAAACCTGCACATGTAAGTGACAATAGAGCTCCTTGTGAAGAGTTCCTCCAGGGAAGTACCGCCACCTTACCCATTTCTTCCCTTTAAGCAGCGCT